CCCTGAGAGATCCCTGCCCGCGCCTTGGAGTCGCCTCTGTGAGCTCCACGTGCGCTGCCCCTTGCAGGTTTGGCTCTCGGGTCTTTTTTGGGAATCATCTTCCCAAGCTAGTGTTTGGAGGCTCCCCGTTCCCGAGCGCTTCCTAGGCGAGAACATGCCAAGAGTGTGCAAAGTATTCCCAGAATAGCCCTGCCAGAGCCATTGCTGCTTGTTCCCTGGGCCTGCCCACAGGCACCCGGATGCATCTGGCTATTTCAGAGCTCACAAGACACTAATGTTGAATTCTCTTCCCGTTTACGAGCTCGGTGGGGCCTGGAAAGAGTGTACGACTGACCGAGGAGCTGCCCTCGTCCCCAGGAGCCCGTGGTGTAAATGCAGGGATTCAGGTTAAACGTGTGTGGTCAGGCTGGGTTGGTTCATGTGGAGAGTGAACATAGAACTAGTTCTGACTCATTTCTTTTGAGTACCATAGAATGAATAAGTGTGAGCAAAGCGTGTGGATGTGCAGGGAGGTGCTTGTTGGATTCCAGCATGGCACCAGCACTCAGCACTGAATGAGGCTGAGGCTATGGGACTCAGTGAGTGTGAAAGCAGAGAAAGAGGATTATAGCCCAAAGTGCAGAAGGATGGAGTCATGTGATGTGATGTGGTGTAGTCAAAGACAAGAATTTCAAGACTGATGAGTCAAAGGGAAAGAAACTGGGGAGAATAAAACAAAAAAGATGTTACAGTTGGGTCAGAAGACTAAATATAGCAGCCATGCTGGAAGGATGTGAGTGTCCCATTCCTGGTCATCATTGTTCTCTGCCAGTGAATGGGTGAAATCCAGCCAGTTACACACTCTTCAGCCTTCCTGGTGTGTAGCTGTTTCCTGCCTGTATTTCCATTCTCTCCAAATCCAAAGGAGAAAGAATGGAATTGTTTTCCCTGTTGGGTGTTTGCTGTGACTGTTTTTCAGGATTTTGTATTCATCCCTGGAATGCTCATGGGTTGCAGAGGTAGGCAGGGCAGGGAGTGTTACTGCTCTTTATGAAATCTCTGTCTTGTGTAATGTAACATTTGGGGTGTTTCAGTGTGAGCTGAGTAGGAGTGTGTCAGAGATCCACTGTGATTTTTAAAGTAAACTTCCTTACTCTCGTTCTTACCTGGCCTGCTGAAAAATTTTGTTGACTTGTTCCATGAGAAAGCAATTTGAGGAGGAATTCTTCCCAGGAGTTCGATAATACGAGCAACATGATCTAGACAGAGGAGGGAAAATACACCTAGATACAATAGTTGTGACACTTCTGTCAGTGAAATGAATAAAACTGATGGAGTCCTACCATCATCTCTGGAGAAATATTTCCCAGGTTGAGGATCAAATAGACACTCCCCAGTTGCCATTTCAAATGCCTAGAAATGGAGTAGCATTGTTAATTGACTACTGTTTTGGAGTTTTTCTTCCCTTCTAACTAATAGTATCGATTTCCCTTGCGATCACACAAACCTGATCCTAAAATATGGAAATACACTGGCACACTGGCTTGATGTCTACCACAGCGAAACAGCACCTTTAGCTCTGTCAGGGTGAAAAGCAGCATGTGCCTGATTCAGTCTGACATACACAGAGTGTGAATTGCCTTAGAGCTTAAACTAATTAGGAGTGGTTTTTATCAGCAGCACGCTTTCGGCCCAAAGCGGACGAGCGCAGACAGCCCCTTTTGCCTTCTCAGCAAGGAAGCTTTGCTTTACATGAAAAGGTGGGTGCCAAGGACATACTGCCCTGGCCAGTTAGTGTCTGTCACCTCCTTGCATGCACAGCATTGTCCCCAGTCCTACCAGGCAGGCTGTGCTCCAGATATCCGCAGGAGTGCCGTAGTCTAATCCAAGAAGCACTTCCAGGGCACGGTATGGCTGGGTCTGTATCTCCTTGGAAAAGGGCTTGTACTGAAACAGAAACAAAATCCCTTTGGTTGGCGTCCCTAAGCCAGTCAGAACAACACTGGTGGTCACAAGCTTCCCGCACAAGGAGGGGACACAGGACAGGACTGAACATGCGTTCTCAGCTCTGCAAAGGGCACAGCCAACACATTCCCAGCCCCACTGACAACAGAGGGAGTCTACCTCCCAACATTTCTCACTGAACATAGTTTTGAATTTCTAATTGCAGGGACTGAGTGCAAGCTGGAGAAATGTCCAAGGCTGACAGTGTCTTTGGAGCACAGGGCCCAGCTCAGAGCTGGGAGTGCTGAATATAGCACCCCCCAAAGTTTGCATCTCTTCAGCACACTGAAATAGCTATTCAGCTGTAATGGGATGGACATGCAGGGTGAGATGGAAAGGAGCACGCAGCCTCCAGGGTTGTTAGAGGATTGAGACTTGGAGCAGACTCACTGTCCAGCACGCGCTGCCTAGATCTGCAATTTTCACTTCTATGCTCATTAAATCAGATTCTTCCAACTGATTGCCAGGATCACCTCCTAGATGAAAAGAACAGAGAGAAATTGTGTCTTTCCAAACCAACAGGTACACATCACTTACCATAGGAGAGGTATGTCTGCCTGCCTTTAAAGTTTCTCAGCCTAAAGGGTCCTAAAATGCTTTTTATCATCAATCAAAGGCCACCTCTGGTTTTTGAGGAAATGCAAAGGAAGCACTGATATTCAGTGAAAACAAGAGGATGTTTGGGAAGATGGTAGCTTGGAGTTGAACAGTGTGATGTGCTCCTGTCCTGCTGCAAGGTTCCTCTAGCACCAAGGTTAAATTACTGTGGGCCCAGAGGAGAGCACATTCTACCAGCACTAGTCTGAACCAAAACATCTGTAATTCCTCTTCAGCCTTCAGCAGCGTGGCTCTCACAGACCTTGGACACAGCCTGCTTGGCAAGCACCGTGAAGGTTACATTTTCATATGACCCTAGGAAACAGTAATTCCTGCTTTAGCGCTTTACAGTGAGCTGTCAGCCTATGCCTAATACTGTGCTTTTCTGCTCTGAGCAAAAGACTCAGTCGCTAATTTAGGATTCCCTGATTGCCTCAGAGTTTGAGAGACAAAACAGCACTGTCATGGGAGAAATGCTCACGGGAGAACACAGTGCAGGGACAATATGAAAGGTCTCATGGCTGGGAGATGAGCTAATCTCTTGAGAAATGCTCCAGCCCTACATCTTATTCAATATTCACACCATTCCCTGCAAATAAATTATGTCTCAAAAGGCCTTGAAGATTGGCAGTACGTAGAAGTCTCCCACAAACCTCAGAAATATGGGAAATAAAGAGCAGAAGTGTCACACAGCTTTCTGATCAAACCATTTTGTATGCAAACCTTTCAGTGGCTGAAAACAGTGGACACAGGGAACTGTCCCTGTCCAGACACAGGGAACTTAAAGCCAACAAGAGTGAGCCCTGATGCTGGGGGGGGGGGAGCTGTTAACAGTTACATGTGACCAGTTTTCCTCCACACAAACCCACCTGCAAGACTACATTTCTGTTGGTGCCTTGGGTAGTCGCTCAGCCTGATGTTTGTCTTAGGCAGAGATAGGAGAGGCCTCTCAGCAGCCCAAGCTGGCTGTAGTATTTTGTACTGGCTGTTGCAGGAGATGGGAACCTTTCCTGAGGTATCCGTAGCTGCTGCCTCTGTTTCTCTCCCAGCAATAAACATATAAGTCCCTCTTCTTGCTGCAAACCCCCTGGAGTGCTCACCTGCTCCCTTCAGCTTCGCATGTGTTCTCTGGCCACAGTCAAGCGTATCCACGAGAAGCCTTTGGAGGCTTTTGTTGTGTCCATACAGTAGGATATTCTCCGGTTTGATGTCCGCGTGGATGATGCGGCAGCGCTTGTGCAGGAAGTACAGCCCTGCCAGCACCTGGGAGAGCAGGGAGCACGTCACACTGGCCACATGAGGGGCCCCACCAACCCCCCCTGCCCCAGCAGCTCTCAGAGCAGCCAGGCACATGGGTAGGGTAGTTGTGGGCATTCTGGTACTGACGATAACTATCAGCCGTAAGTTATTTCCTGCTGGGGTGGCCCTGTGGGAGCAGGTTCCAGGGGTTCTGTTGCACAACACAGCAGGAGGAGCAGGTGCCAGAGCCCCATGTGCCCAGCGGGGGCCTGGGGAGCCCAGGGGGGACAGGGCTGTTTGGGGTGACACGCAGCAAAAGGCAGCGCGAAAATCCACAGACACCACCATGGGTGGGCAAGCCCGGTGAGATGGGAGGAGGGTGGGGCAATGAGGAGGCATTACAATAACAGAGCTGAACTTTCTTCTGAAAAATCATTCCTGCTTGTACAGCTGTTATGGCCTAGGACCACTGTGCCTTCCTGCTGATTATAACCAGCCCCCAGCTTCCATCTGAATGACAGTGACACGGCATGGGAGGGTGTCCCATCATACAAGGAAAGAAGGAGGCACAGCGTAACCCAGACAGGAGGTGGGAGAGACCATGAGTGAGTGCTTAGAGAGGATTTCAGGGCCCTGCAGGAGAGCCATGTAGGGAAAGAACAGCCTACCATGGAGCAGGGAAAGCCTGGCCTGTCACGGGGGAGAGATAAACAACACCTACCCGAGAGGAACAGTCACTATCAGAAATCAATAACAGCAGAAATGCTACAGGGAGAGTTACATTTGTTTTTTAAACACTCTGGACAGTCATAAAGGGCTGGCAAATATTCTCTGTATTATCAAATTCTATTCTGGGATGAACACCAGCCCCAGGGAAATACCAACCTTAAATGGTAACTGTGAAACGCGGGGAAAGATTTAAATAACTAAACTGGAATGAATCAGAAGTAAATACTGCTCCAGTGCTGATCTGAAGGGGGAAAACAGATCTGAGATTTTACAATTAAAACAGATAATGGATCAAGCAAAAGGCCTGGGTGTAAAATGAGTCACAGAGATGAATGCCACTACATTTCTGTGTAACTTATTCAGGTGTTAGTGGAGCTTCTTTAGAGAAAGAAGAGGCTATTCCAGAAAAAAAGTGATGGAGGAAGCAGTTTTCTTTCTTATTGTCCCTAGAAGGGCACAGGAATCAGGGTAGCAAATCTTCATCTTGGCAAGTGTGCAGACTTCTGATAAATCTCAGCATGAGAGGCAAAATGTAATTTTAACTCCTCTAAGGCCTCACTCAGGTTCCCTATGCCTTAAGCACAGCCAGTGCATAAGAAACTTAGTTTTCACAATCTGTTTGAGCAGGACACCACATCCTTGCAGGGGATGAAGGAGGAGTTGGCTCTGTGCGGGAAAACCTTAACATGGGAGGAGAACCAGCCAACCACATCAGCAATTTAGAAATTCCTGGAAGGATGGGAGGGAGACCTTGAGCAGCCTTCAGTGGTACCATGCAGAAAGCTGCTGGAGCTGACAGTGCTACCCGTGGCTTGATGCCAAGGCAAATGCCAATGGCCTGGCATTGCTGCCAGAAGGGACTTCTCAGGGCAGCAGGAGGGCAGAGATACACGTGTTTTGCACACAAGAAGCAGAACTATGGCAGGCTGTTTGCCCCCTGTTACCCCTACGAGCAGCAGAACTGCTGGAGAACTCCATGATTACTGAGATGATGGGAACAGAAGTGCTGGCCCTGACGCCCTGGTGCAGGTCTGCTGGAGCTCCATGGTGGTGGCCCTGACTTTTTGCCAAACCCAAGGAGGCTGCAGCTTGGGCAGTACCACTCAAGTAAGGCCCAAGTAATGCCCATGTCCTTGGGAAGAAGACTATGGCATGTCCCTTAGCCAACAGTCCCTTGGTGCCCTCGCCCGGTTCCAGCTAAATTCTCACCTGCTGTAAAGATTTTTTCACAAAAGGCAAAGGCAGTCCCTGAGTTGTGTAGTTTCCCATCAGACATCGCAGGGAAGGACCCAGCACCTCAAATACCAGGCACATATGTGGGAAAGAGTCAGGGATTCACTAACAGGGAGAAGATCCTACCACCAGCCCTTTGTCTTTCACCAGAGCAACCAAATACCTCCTTATCTCCTCAAAAACCTCTCCCCTCCAGCCACCTCCATGTGCCCAGGCTTTGCTGGCTCAGAGCTGCAGCACTCTCCACAGAAGGATATGGAAGCCATTCTCTCCAATCATTCTGAAGTCATCTAACAAAGAGACGATATTTTCTCCTGCCCGATCCTTCTTCTTCATACAGTTCACCTGAGGGGGAGGATTCCAAGAAAGCTGCAATTAGAGGTATTGTATGCACAAGGACACCTTGCACCTGTTTTATCCTGTTCCCAGACTTTCTCTTCCAGGAATTGGCACTTCATGACAAATCCCATGAAAACACCATCAGAAAAACCAAATGCTCCAAGCACACAAGCAGAGTCTGTTACCAAGGAATGAGTTTCTGCATGTTGTCCCACTCTTGACCAGGTGGGACCATCACCCTCACAGTGTCAAAATAACTCACACTGATCCTGCTGATAGTGTCTAGCAGACTTTCTGCAGCTTATTCTATCCATGCAGGCCCATAAAGTGCTCCTACTTGTGCTGGGACGGGATTTCCCCAAGAACACAGCTCCCTGCTCTCAGCAACAATGGCAATTTCCTTTGCCTTTCTGCAGCCTTTGCTCCTTGTTCCCAGAGCTAAGAGTAGCAGGCTGGGACATCACCTTTTAAAACTCCCACCATCCCTTCAGTAATTTCTCTGAAAAAGGTTTGTGCTGGCACGACAGGGGTGAGCAGCCCTGGAAGCCACAGGGGCCCAGATCGCCTCTCTTGGCAGCTCTGCAGGCACTGACCTCCCTGTGCTGGTGGGAACAGCCCTGGGAACCAGCTGTATGCTGCTGAATGGGCAGGCGTGTCTCTCGGAGACAATTACTAATAAATCAGGGGGAAGGCTTGGTCTGTATGCAGGGTTGTGCTGATGTGTAGAAAAGCAGCCCTCTGATTACATTAAATTAGTGCCACTTGGTACTTCCTCTTGCATCACTGCATCTGGCTCATGTCCCTTTGGATAGGGCCTGCAGATTTACAGGTGTGAACTAAACCTTTCTCAAACCTGTTGGAGAAAGGCCACAGAGTAATTTAAAATGTAAAATTTAATGGCTTTTACTCATCTGACACTGATGTAACTTTGTATTTGGGCAAGCTTAAAGAATTGTAACCATGACCTTTCTAGAACTAGCAGCTCAAGCCCAAGCACCTTCAAAGGCCACTCACTGAGAAACAGATACAAACACCTAATTACCACCTTCATTAGCAAAGACAGGAAGAAGCTTTCTGACTTCAGACGTTTATTATATTTTTGCTACATCATACTTTTTTCTATTGCAGATATTGCCTTTTACTTCAGTATCAGTATTGGGATAGAGCAATGTCTCCTGAGCTGGGAGTGGCAGAGATACAGCAAACACACTCCCATCTCCTTCTTAGGAACGTTACCATCTTCTGTTGATTAGCCACCTTATCCTTCTGCAAGTTCCTCCTATTTGCTGGATTTCAGTCTCAGCTAAAAGAAATGGGCCAACAGGACAAGTGGGACACAGCCAGCGTGTCCAGTATGACTGGAGGAAGGAGAAGGTTCATGTTTCAGAAACCAATGCTACACCAGGGTGATTTCTATGAATTTCCTAATTTCTGTGTTTTTTTCCTGTTCTCCACCTAGCTCCTTGTACTGAGACCTGAAGGGAGAGGGGATGGTGAGGCTGATACTCAGACCTGAACTCTGGAGCAAAGCACAGAGCCCCAGAATTTACTTACACAGCGGAGGAGAGTGACCTCATCCTGGGCAGTGTCAGCAGAGCCTTCCCTGCTTTTCAGGACCTTCACAGCTACTTGTTTCTTCCTCCTGGGAAACGAACCACAGCTGCCAGCCAACACATGTCAGAGTGGCCCTAACATGCAGCACCTCCCCTTCTCCCAGTCACCCAGCCCTGGGCTTCCCAGGGAGGGTGCTGCCCTTCTGCAAGCACCCTTGGCCTCAGTCTGCAGCACGCCAGGCCCATGGGCATCTCTTCTGCTGGCATCTGGCAGCACAGCTGCCCCAGGAACCAGCAAGGGACTGGAAGGGAAAAGGCAGAGCATGGATACTGCAGGGTCTAAATGAGAAAATAAAATGCAGAGCAAGGGCTGATCCCACCTCATTTATGTTCTTTGGTTTCAGGGGACCAGCTCTGCTTATTGCACCCCACTGATCTCTCTGCCAGGTTTTCCCTGTGTCTGGGGATGCTGATATGCTTCCAGGCAGGCAGCTGTGCTCTGCTGCTTCTGCAAGAGGGGCTGGTCCTGTCCAGGAGATCAGCCACCCATTCCCACCTCCCCAAAAGGCAATTCACCCCTCACCTCATGTCCTGGCACAGCCAGACGGTGGCAAAGGCGCCGCAGCCCAGCTCGCGCAGTGCCCGGTATCGCGTGTTGAACACCTCTCCCTCCTGCACGGGGTGGTGGCCTCCTGCAGGGACCATGGCCAAGAGACATCAGTGACATCTCTAAATGCTCTTAGGCTGAAGGAGCAGCTAAGGACAGCCAGACAGGTCCCAGTGACCTCCTCTGGCCTGGGAAGAACCTGGCACGATCTCGGCTCTAGAGCTACATGCCCAAGGACTGACCTGTGTGCTGGGCTGGCGGCATCTCCTCCTGTACCTGCTCCTCCATGGCCCAGCAGTGCAGCAGATCCTGGCACGAGGGGACAGAGGCAGTGGGGAAATAGGTTGTGGGGAACAGGCAGTGTGATCTTCAGCACTTTACTCCTTTAAAGAGAGCTGGAGAGCAGCTGTACTTCTGCTGCACACTGCACATTGATTCCCTCTTCTACTCCTGCTGCCCCCTTGCTCCTTTCCTTCCCATTCCCTTCACCAGCTCCTGGAACCAGGCTTTAAAAACACTTTTGGCACTTCATGGAGACAGGGATTATTTTAAGAGTTCAGAAGAGGAAAGCTGGCAGGCTAGGGTTGGGCCAGGGCCAGGTGGGAGTCTCAGGTTTCCCTGTGTCCAGTATGGATTTTCAGGGGCTTAGCGGGGTCTATGGGATTCCCTCCCACAGCCAGGGAAAGCATCCCCTCCCCATTCCAGCTGAGGAGGGAATGCATTTGGGCTTTGGCTGTCAGGAGGAGCCCCCAGCTCCAGAGGGGTGTGAAGCAGAACCTGCATTTTAGACACTGCAGCACTGCTCCTCTGCCCACAGCCCAGCCCCAGGGCCAGAGCATGAGTTTATCTCTGACCATCTCGTGACATCCCAGCAAGAGGCTGCTCCCGGGGTTTGTTACTATGACAGCCCAAGGTGCAAACACTAAGACAGTACAGACAGACTAATCCAACTGCTGTCCCCCCATGCTGCAGCACCAGTGTAGAGCTGGCTTCAGCACTGGTCCTCTGAAATAGCAGCCCAGAGCCCCTGTTGCTAATGCAATACAGATGTAAACTGCCATAGCTGGGGCACTCCCAACCCAGCCTTTCAAAATTCGGAAATGTCACTTGCTGTACTGCCAGAGCTTCAGGCTAACACACACTGTCAGAGCTCGAGACAGGTGATAATAATCCCCATAGACCATTAGCACAGGTAGAATTATTGACCTTTAAATCCTCCAAATCCGGTTGCTTAAGCTAAGAACTCTTCTGAACCAGAGGATTTTCAGAAATAATTATAGAGGGCTGGTGGTGCTGGTGGCAGCAGGAGCCACATGACAAGGAGTACTTTCTTCCAGGTGCTGAGATAGAGGCGTGACTTCCTCAAAATGCTAAAGTTTCTTTCCACCTGCTGATGCTCCCTCCCAGTGCAGCAGCCAAAGGCACAGCCTGCCTTTGGGCACCCAGTAGGCTCCCAGCTCAGTTTTATTTAAGGGTCAGACTGGGCTCAAAACTCCCATCCTGTCAGGGACAACCCAAAGTGCCAGAGCTGACATTGCCCTGTTCACTCAAGGCCATAAAGTCTGAAAGGAGCTCAAAATGCCTCCCCCTCCTTACATTTCTACACCTCTGACCCTGGCATTTACGCTGTTCGGAATCAGCCTCTTTAGGCATAAACCTCCAGCATGCTGCATGTCTGCGCAGCCACTCTTCTCAGCAAAAACTTGATAACATCTTGGATATGAAACAGAGCTGAAATCAAAATTTTCCATATTTGTGAAAAGACTAGCAGTATCCTTGCAAGGTCCTGCACCATCACTATCTGCCCAAACCCTCTTCACTCATGCCACGAGGACAGCAGGGGCTGAGCTGAGAGCTGGAGAACAGCTGGAAAGATTTAATGATGCCACTCACTATTCACCTGTCAAAGGAAAACTCATGAACTTGGAGAGATGGCAGTTAAACAGCATCTTCCCTTAGTGGAGTGTTATGGTAATAGGAAAGACTTCAGTGAGAAAACAGGACCCAGAGATAGTCAGTGTAAGACTCATCCTAGCACTAGGGCTGACGGACCTTTTGGGCAGTTCACTGGGCCCTGGTGCCCTTCTTGCTGCAAAGACAAGACAAGTCCATTCTTAGGCATGCAAGGCTTTACCTCCATCCACCCTAGCTGGATGGGAGTACTGGCAAAGGATGAAGAGTGTTGCTGTGCAACTTGGTACAGGAGAGGGAAACATACTTTTCTAGGCTTTGTGATAAAGGACAATTGGTGCTTCTAAGTCCTTCATTAACCTTTATGTTAAATACATAAATATCTTGCTTTTGTCATTCAAATTATTTTGTGCAGAACCCACTGAATTGCTGCAGGCCTGGACTAGCTCAGAGAACTTCAGCCCAAAAACTGGTTCTGCCTGGTTTGAGAGAGCCATGGACAGGGAGAGATGATGCTTCACCTCTGGCCTGGACACCTCCACCTGAGCTGCACAGAACGGCACACAGAGCTCCCCAACACCGGTCATGCCTTATGACACCTGGACATCCAGAGTGGCAGAGCTCACCAGAGAAACACACACCTTCGTCTTCTGCACCAACACAGACCTACAAGCCCTTGCTGGGCGCAGCATCCCTGCAAGTCACAGCACGTACAAGCAGTACAAGCAGCCCTGTCGGCGCGCGGGTCGCTGAGCCCCAGGGCCCTGCGCAGACTCACCGTGAAGCAGCTCGAGGGCAGGGCACGCCGCTCCCTTTGTCATCTGGCTCCTTCTGGAGCTTCCCAAAGTGAGATACCAGCTGGTCCTGCTCTCCTTTTAGTCTGTGCTGCCCTGGGAGGGGTGTCCTTGAGCAGACCAAACTCTTGTGCATCGCTGGATGGACGCAGTGAGGAGCGGGGCAGGGTATCGGATCACAGCACTGCTTCTGGGAACAATCTTGGCTTTGGGATAGCAGGAGACCTCAGACAGCTGCGGTGGATTCACTTTACTGCTGGCCTCTCCCTGCCTCTCTGGCAGCAGGTCTGTCAGCTTGCTGTGGATCCAGAGTCTCCACAGCAACTATTTATAGCGGGAAATTCACAGCTCTACTGAGATGGAAACAGAGAAATCCTCCCCCTCTGCTCCACCAGACCCAGAAACCATAGGGCTGCCTCAGTCTTCCTGTTGCTCCCAGTATGTCGGCAGAACTTGCTACTGCAGCACCATCTACCTGACACAGCCATCCCCAGCCTGTGCCTGGCACAGCCCACCTGTGTGCCACACTGCCAGACCTGAGGCACCTCACCCTCCCCAGCAGTGCCCACATGCAGCCAAACACCATCACAGTGTGGTGCTGGTGGCCACAGAGCCCACATTTCCCCTGTTCCTGTCTCTAGAAGAGCAACTGCAGTAACGTCCTCCCTGCAGCCCTGGGGGAACCCGAGCATCCCAGCACCATGCAACACTGGGGAGGAAAAGGCCACACACGGTAAAAATCACATTTTTTCCCCCACTGCCACATGCCGTAGCCTCACACCGGAGCTGGGCATAGTCTGGCCTCCCCCTCGCTGGGGCCCTGGGCTCACACAGCTCAGGTTTCCTGGCTGAGGCTGCAGAGACCAAGCCTCAGCCCTGCAGCAAAGGGTTAACCCTGCCTCGCAGTAGCTCTGCTGCAGTTCCAGGCTGCCAAACCCAGGCCAGGGCCTCCCAGAGCGGTTCTCCCCCTGCCTGTGCCCCTCTGCTCTCACCTGCCTTCCCCCGCACTAAAAATATCAAGGGAGGGGGCAGAGGCTGCACCAGGCTGGGTACTGAGCTGTGCAGGGCAGCACGGGGGGGACAAGTGCTGTGTGACCCCTAAAAGGCAACAAGAACACGCAGAGTACAGAGAGGAGGGACTAAAAGAGAGGGAGAGGCAGACTCTATCCAAAACTCTGCTAGTAAAGGAAGTGGGGGGGGGAGAAGAAAAGAGGATAGATGGGCCAGGAGCCAGCTTTCTGTCTGGGAAGAATTGTGTAATTCATTTAGAATTAAGTTGTTTTGGTAATTTAGGAACACTGGTTTCTGTCTCATGCTGGTGGACAACAGTGACCAACATAAACTGCAGCTTCAGTGACCCTTACCCACGGTGGGAGACCACAGCCAGAGCTGCCACGTGCCCTCAGTGTCAGCCCAACAGAGTGTCTGTGGAGGGAGGCTGCCTCCTCCTGCGGGCAGGGATGGTATTTGAGCTCTGGAAACTGCAGAAGCACTGGGATCTAGGTGGAAGGTGGCACAAGATTATCTCACAAGATACTCAGAACAAGTAGAACAGAAGAAGGTGGCACAAGATTATCTCACAAGAAACACAGCCTATGGAGGGGGCAGGACGGAAAGGCCTCACTTTCCTCAAACAGCTCCCAGGTCCTGGTGCTCAGGAGTACATGGTTTCCACTTGGGATGAAACAAGAGGCAAATACATTCTGGGTAATTGCATCATCATGCAACACAAGCATGACACAGAGGTTGTATATTAAAATTTATTGAATTATTGTGTAAGAATTCTCTTTATTAAAATCATTTGGACTCTAAACTGATTATTTACAGACAAAACCTCTTATATCACCAATAGATTCCTACATCTCAGAACAGTATCTACAAACAGTTATTACACTATGTAACAAAATTCAGATTTTTTTCAAGCTTTTTATATTAATTATTAATTCCAATTTGAGAAAGACAGTACCTTGGGTGCTCTGAGCAGAACTCAAGGTGTGGCAGGGCATAAATGCAGGTCAGGCCATACCTTAACAGACAGACACCAAGTCACAAGGCTGGGAGAGAGCAGAGTCACCAGGACAGAGGACTGGGAAAAAGACTAGAGCAAATGCCCTGGGTGTTCCGGAAACCAAAAGAATCATCCCCACAAGAAAGGCACACACACACACAAAAAAAAAAAGCAGCATCTGGCTGCAACTGGGGCACACCCTGAAAAAGAAACGGCATTCCACCGAGGCAGCAGCATCCGAGAACCCTCTATTTTCATTTTAAAAAAAATTAGCCATCATTTCTACAAACACACAAAACCTTTCAGGTACAGCCTAAATTTGCCACCAGACAGATGAAAGCAAGAGCTCTCACATCTACATCACGTGCGTGCCAGCTACGCTTCGTCATGCCAACAGGAGAGACATTCAATACACTAACGGAGATTTATCTTAATACTGATCAGTTCTCAGCCTTTCACCCAGACCAAGGCAGAAGCAAGTTCCTCTCTCTGACTGCAGTACTAAATAAAGCTGGATGCCTGCCACTCATCACTGTTCTGAGGGTCCCATTAGAGCAGCCACATCCCCTCACTGT